TAAACGGGAGGGAGGGAGGGAGGGGAGATGACTGGATGGATTTGGGGTCTTACGTAATTGAACACGTTATTGGATTGCTGGCTGCCTGGTGGGGTGCGTGGCGAGTAGAGATGCTGTAGGATACTGTTGGGTGGAAAAATGGTTTGATGGCAGATTGCTGGCTGGCTGCCTGGCAGCCGCGTGGATGGATTTATCAATCGATTGATGAAGTGAACTGTGGAAGTTTAGAGTAAGGTCTGAATTGGAGATGGGACCTAAATTAGCATGGGACTAAGGACAGGGTTAAACATGGGGTTTGTGTTCTCGCTGGAGATCCGAGTAGTCAGTTTAGAGGCTTGGTCTTGGGTGTCAGGGTGGGGGGCAAGTTGGAGGGAGGCGGAAAGAGCTCCCGGTTCAGTTTCGGGCTTGGTCTACAGCAGCACAGGTGAGGGGCCCGCTGTGGTTGAGGACCATCTGGAGAAGGTGTTGGGGGGGGGTGTTACAGGGACACAGGGGTAGCCACTGGTCGGGGGTTCTGGCTTCTTGAACCCCAAGAAGTGAAATAAAGAAGGAACCAAGCCACCTTGACCTTGACCTTCTCTCCTTGACCCCAGGGCCTGCCGGAGCTGCTGGTGAAGCGGGTGATGGCCCAGCTCGCTGGAGCCCTGGACTTCCTGCACAGCCGGGGGCTGGTCCACGCCGACGTGAAGCCAGACAACGTGCTGGTCTTCGACCCTGCCTGCAGCCGTGTGGCCCTCGGAGACCTGGGTCTGACCCGGCCCGAGGGCAGCCCAACCCCCGCCCCGCCGGGGCCGCTGCCCTCCGCCCCACCCGAGCTCTGTCTCCTGCTGCCACCTGACACCCTGCCCCTGCGGCCGTCCTTGGACTCCTGGGGCCTGGGGGTGCTTCTCTTCTGTGCGGCCACGGCCTGCTTCCCTTGGGACGTGGCCCTGGCCCCCGACCCCGAGTTCGAGGCCTTTGCTGGCTGGATGACCACCAGGCCCCAGCCACCTCAACCACCCCGCCCTTGGGACCAGTTTGCGCCCCCGGCTCTGGCTCTGCTCCAAGGGCTCCTGGACCTGGATCCTGACACGAGGAGCCCCCCACTGGCTGTTCTGAACTTCCTGGGGGACGACTGGGGGTTGGAGGGGAACAGAGGGGGACCTGGGGGCTCGGAGAGTATGTCTGGTGAGGATGGGGAGGAGGAGGGGGGATCAAGCTTGGAGGAGTGGACAGATGAGGAGGAGCATGACCAAGGTGGCGGGAGGATGGGGACAGATGGGGGAGCTCCCAGGCCAGGTGACTGAGACAGGTGGCCAGAGCCTGAGCCAAGGGCCCCTCCCGCAGCCTCCATGGCCACCTGGATGGAGAGACAGCTGCTCCCGGGAGCACAGAGATGGAATACACTGCATCTCTCCCTGCTGCAGGCCCCGCTCGGTGGCACCACTCCCTCCCAAACGAAGACCTGGGAGCCCAGGACCCTCGTCTCCTCCCCCCTCAGACCCAGGGGTCCTGGCCCCCAGCCCCTTCTCCCTCAAGTACCTGTCTTCTTCCTTCTGTCCTGAACGTGTCTCCTTGGAGGAAGGCGCCGTTTCCCCTATAGATACATCTCCGCACTGTCGGGACATGTTGGATGCGGGGAAGTGGAGTTCCGATGAGGATACCCCTCTCCTCTAAGACCTCTCATGACTCCCACTGTCCATGGCACCAAACCTGGGCTTTCAAGATCTGACGCCACGGAAACCTCAGCCTGCCCCTGCCTCTCCCATGTCCCTGGGCTCCTGGTGACACTGAGGGAGCCACGCATCCCTTGTGGACCTAAATCTGCATGCTCACACGTTCATGTACACGCAGGCACATGCACCATTCCCCGTGTCCCCCCCAGAACGCCTTCCCAGCTCCGTACCTCCAGAAGCCCCCGCCTGGGCCCTCTCCGGCCTGCCAGGAGCTGGATCCAGGTGGTGGTGTCTCCATGTTCTCCAGGCTCCCTCTCAGGTGCTCCAGCACGGACTCGGCCTCTTATTTCTACATCCTTCCATCCTCTGCGCCTGCATCCGAGCGCCCTGTGCCTGCTCATGTCCGAGCACGCAGTGTGTGACCGCCCATGCTCAGGGCCACGGTGGTTGGATGGATCTCTGTCCACCAGGCAGCACCCAGCACAGTACTCCTGCCTCCCCTGGGGACGCTGACAGGACCATGTCCCAGTGGCCGCACAGCGTCAGGCATGGGGACTCTGCTTCCTCCTGGGAATCTGTCCTGCGTGCTTTCTAATATATATTTATTAATTTTTAATGTTTTTATTGATTTCAGAGAGCGGGAGGGAGAGGGGGAGAAGATAGAAACACTGATGAGAGAGAAACATCGATTGATCGGCTGCCTCCTGCACGCCCCCTGCTGGGGATGGAGCCCGCAACCCAGGCATGTGCCCTGCCCGGGAATCGAACCTCCACCTCCTGGTGCACTAGATGACACTCTACCAAGGCTGGGCCCTGTGCACTTTCTAGATTTTAAGAGTGGTTCACTTGACGCAGCAACGTGGTGTCCTGGGTTGACCCCTGGGGCAGAAAGAGGCTGTTGGGGGAAACGCAGATGAGACGGGACAGCTAGTGTTTGATCATGAATTTCCCAGCTTGGACACATGCACTGTTGGCTGGGAGACACTGGCCCGCTGGGGACCTGGGCTAGGGCACATGGGAGTGCTCAGCNGTGTTACAGGGACACAGGGGTAGCCACTGGTCGGGGGTTCTGGCTTCTTGAACCCCAAGAAGTGAAATAAAGAAGGAACCAAGCCACCTTGACCTTGACCTTCTCTCCTTGACCCCAGGGCCTGCCGGAGCTGCTGGTGAAGCGGGTGATGGCCCAGCTCGCTGGAGCCCTGGACTTCCTGCACAGCCGGGGGCTGGTCCACGCCGACGTGAAGCCAGACAACGTGCTGGTCTTCGACCCTGCCTGCAGCCGTGTGGCCCTCGGAGACCTGGGTCTGACCCGGCCCGAGGGCAGCCCAACCCCCGCCCCGCCGGGGCCGCTGCCCTCCGCCCCACCCGAGCTCTGTCTCCTGCTGCCACCTGACACCCTGCCCCTGCGGCCGTCCTTGGACTCCTGGGGCCTGGGGGTGCTTCTCTTCTGTGCGGCCACGGCCTGCTTCCCTTGGGACGTGGCCCTGGCCCCCGACCCCGAGTTCGAGGCCTTTGCTGGCTGGATGACCACCAGGCCCCAGCCACCTCAACCACCCCGCCCTTGGGACCAGTTTGCGCCCCCGGCTCTGGCTCTGCTCCAAGGGCTCCTGGACCTGGATCCTGACACGAGGAGCCCCCCACTGGCTGTTCTGAACTTCCTGGGGGACGACTGGGGGTTGGAGGGGAACAGAGGGGGACCTGGGGGCTCGGAGAGTATGTCTGGTGAGGATGGGGAGGAGGAGGGGGGATCAAGCTTGGAGGAGTGGACAGATGAGGAGGAGCATGACCAAGGTGGCGGGAGGATGGGGACAGATGGGGGAGCTCCCAGGCCAGGTGACTGAGACAGGTGGCCAGAGCCTGAGCCAAGGGCCCCTCCCGCAGCCTCCATGGCCACCTGGATGGAGAGACAGCTGCTCCCGGGAGCACAGAGATGGAATACACTGCATCTCTCCCTGCTGCAGGCCCCGCTCGGTGGCACCACTCCCTCCCAAACGAAGACCTGGGAGCCCAGGACCCTCGTCTCCTCCCCCCTCAGACCCAGGGGTCCTGGCCCCCAGCCCCTTCTCCCTCAAGTACCTGTCTTCTTCCTTCTGTCCTGAACGTGTCTCCTTGGAGGAAGGCGCCGTTTCCCCTATAGATACATCTCCGCACTGTCGGGACATGTTGGATGCGGGGAAGTGGAGTTCCAATGAGGATACCCCTCTCCTCTAAGACCTCTCATGACTCCCACTGTCCATGGCACCAAACCTGGGCTTTCAAGATCTGACGCCACGGAAACCTCAGCCTGCCCCTGCCTCTCCCATGTCCCTGGGCTCCTGGTGACACTGAGGGAGCCACGCATCCCTTGTGGACCTAAATCTGCATGCTCACACGTTCATGTACACGCAGGCACATGCACCATTCCCCGTGTCCCCCCCAGAACGCCTTCCCAGCTCCGTACCTCCAGAAGCCCCCGCCTGGGCCCTCTCCGGCCTGCCAGGAGCTGGATCCGGGTGGTGGTGTCTCCATGTTCTCCAGGCTACCTCTCAGGTGCTCCAGCACGGACTCGGCCTCTTATTTCTACATCCTTCCATCCTCTGCGCCTGCATCCGAGCGCCCTGTGCCTGCTCATGTCCGAGCACGCAGTGTGTGACCGCCCATGCTCAGGGCCACGGTGGTTGGATGGATCTCTGTCCACCAGGCAGCACCCAGCACAGTACTCCTGCCTCCCCTGGGGACGCTGACAGGACCATGTCCCAGTGGCCGCACAGCGTCAGGCATGGGGACTCTGCTTCCTCCTGGGAATCTGTCCTGCGTGCTTTCTAATATATATTTATTAATTTTTAATGTTTTTATTGATTTCAGAGAGCGGGAGGGAGAGGGGGAGAAGATAGAAACACTGATGAGAGAGAAACATCGATTGATCGGCTGCCTCCTGCACGCCCCCTGCTGGGGATGGAGCCCGCAACCCAGGCATGTGCCCTGCCCGGGAATCGAACCTCCACCTCCTGGTGCACTAGATGACACTCTACCAAGGCTGGGCCCTGTGCACTTTCTAGATTTTAAGAGTGGTTCACTTGACGCAGCAACGTGGTGTCCTGGGTTGACCCCTGGGGCAGAAAGAGGCTGTTGGGGGAAACGCTGATGAGACGGGACAGCTAGTGTTTGATCATGAATTTCCCAGCTTGGACACATGCACTGTTGGCTGGGAGACACTGGCCCGCTGGGGACCTGGGCTAGGGCACATGGGAGTGCTCAGCACCATGTTTGTAGCTGTTCTAAAACTTAAGAAAATCTAAAGTTATTCTGAAATAAAAAGTTTATTTTAAACGAATTAAGTGAGTTCCCATCTGTCATCTTGCTAGCAACCTGAGGGGTGGGTGTCCTGGTTCAGGTGCTGAGCCCGGCCTCTCCCCACTGTGAAGTCTGCGGGCTCAGACTCGACCCTCCATCTCCCTCCCCTCAGGTCCCTCTCTTCCCAGTTGTCCACCACCTGCTGCCCCTCGGCCCCAAGTCTGAGCTCATCTCTCACTGCATCGTTCTGGAATCCGCTACCTCATCCTGTTCCCACAGGACCCCAGTGTCTCGTCCCGGGGCACCTCTCAGCGAACACTTGTGTCTGACCTGTCAATGGGCCACTGATGGGCAGCTGGGGGGGGGGTTCAAGGCAGGGGCTCCACAGAGAAATGACTTCATTCTCCACAGGCCAGCCGGACTCCTGGGTCTGAGGGAGGGGGCTGGGGGCCGGATCTAGGGTCTGACAGAGGAAAGGGCTGGGGGCCTGGACCCCTGGGTCTGAGGGAGGAGGGACTGGGGGCCTGGACCCCTGGGTCTGAGGGAGGAGGGGCTGGGGGCCTGGGTTTGATGGAAGAGGCACTGAGCTCCTGGGTCTGGGACATTTGTCTCACCACCGCCAGTTCTAGGAGTCAACACACGATGTCGCTCTGTCCCTAGTGGGATGGAGGGGGCGGGGACAGAGGCGGGGCTTAGGACCCCTAGGTGGGGGTGGGGGCGGGGTCTTGCTCCTGGGCAGGCCTCCGCTGGCATGGGCTCTGAGTGCTGGACACTGACCACAGCGGGCAGACGAAGGGTCAGGCAAGCCTTGGAGAAGGTGAGGTCCGGAGGTCGAAGCCCAGGTCAGGAGGAGGCAAGGGTTAAAGGGCCTGAGGTGAGCAGCACCTGAGAGTAAAGCCAGGCAGGTGGCCAGAGTCTGGGCTCCCTCAGGAGAGCAGGACTGGACCTTAAGGCTGTAGAGGGGTTGAGTGTCAGGGACGCAGAGTCTGGGGGTCCCAAGATATGTGAGTTTTATAGGTTCCAGTAGAGATCGGACCGGGGACCCGGACTCCTGGGTCTGAGGGAGGAGACTGGGGGCCTGGACTCCTGGGTCTGAGGGGAGAGGGGTGGGGGCCTGGACTCCTGGGTCTGAGGGAGGAGACTGGGGCCTGGACTCCTGGGCCTGAGGGAGGAGGGGCTCTTTGGCCCCTCCCGTCGTGACTCGGTCTCCCTCATCATTAAAGGCATTGGGGAGTGGGGAACCAGCTGTGAGTTGGGGTGAGGTCAAGCCTAAGATCAGAGATGTCTCTCACCTCCGCCCCCACAGTCACCCAATGGCCCAAGGGTGAAAGATGAACCAGATAACTCGAGACACCCCCATCTTGTTTCCAAAGCAAACAGACTTGGGCCCAGGGGTGGGTGAGCAGCCTCTGTCTCCTAAGCGCAAACAGGTGCTCTCTGCCCCTGGGGGCCGGGAGGGCAGGGCTGTGCACACCAGGGACAGGGTGGGGACACCTGGGCTCGATGGGAGCAAGAACTCGGGAGCAGTCCCAGCCCGGAAAGGCCCTGGGGGCCCTAGCCCTCCTTCCTCAGAGCCGAGGCGTCCAGGCCCCCAGCCCCTTCACCCTCAGACCCAGGAGTCCAGGGCCTCAGCCTCTCTTGAGACCCGCGTCCGGCAGCGGGGCCCTGGGTCACCCTCCACACTCTGCCCTGCAGACATGCCCGGCAAACAGTCAGATGAGGAGGAGGTGAGGGGGGGGGCTGTTGAGAATGGAGCCGACGCTGACGAGGACCTGGGGGGCCTCACGGCCGAGGAGCTGCAGCAGGGCCAGGAGGCGGCGCTGGCCCTGGAGGACATGGTGACACTGAGCGCACAGACCCTGGTCCGAGCCGAGGTGGATGAACTCTATGAGCAAGTGCGTCCCCTGGGCCAGGGCCGCTTCGGCCAGGTCCTGCTGGTCACCCACCGTCAGAAAGGTACGGGGCCTGGGGACAGGTGGGGGGTGCAGGGGGGTGCCGGTCCAGGGGGAGGCCAGCCCCGGCTGCAGAGCCTGAAGACCTGAATCCAGGCTGGCTCTGCCCTCCGAGCTGTGTGTTCTTGGGAAGTCCTCTGCGAGCATGTTATGGCCGTAGTTGCCGGGACAACAGGGTGCAGAGAGGTCCCCCCTTGCAGCCTCACATGTGGCCAGCTTATCGGTCACCATGGGGATGGTTCCGAGTTGGGCTGTGCACCAGGCACCTAGCAATCTGGTGTCCCTCTGCCCAGTGTGCACCCCCACTGCCATCCTTCCCAGGGAACTAGGGCCTGTGGATGGAAATGGGGGATCGCTGTCAGTCAGGACTCCCCTTCCAAGGACCCCTGGGGCTTGGCCCTTCCCGGGTGGCGCTGGGACCCAAGAGGAGTCTGTAGGCCCCCTTCAAGAAGGTGGTCCCGGGGCTGCCTCAACACAGGACCCTGGATGGGGTGGTAGAACATCAGAAATCTGTCCTCTCCCTGTTGGTCCTGGAGGCTGCAAGCTCGAGGTCCAGGTGTCACAGGGCTGCTTCTCCTGAGGCCTCTCTCCTGGGTGTATAGACGGCCATCTCCTCCCTGTGTCCTCGTGTGGTCCCCCCCTCTGTGTGTGCCTGTGTCCTAATGTCCTCTGATTGGACGAGGCAGAGACCACCCTATGACCTCATTTTACCCCTTTCAAGACCCCATCTCCAAATAGTCACATTCTGCCATATTGGGGGTGGGGACTTCAACATGTGAATTGGGGGCGGAGGGGGGGGATTTGATTCAGCCCAGAATGAAGAAAGACAGACCCAGACCTGGGTCATCAAAGAGCCTGGAGGCAGGAGCAGCAACAGGCACCAGAGGCATATAAAGGCCACCTGGTCCACTGGTGCTTCATCCCTCATAACTGGAGGCCTGGGGGAGCCGCCCTGGGCTGGGTGGGGCTGGGGCTGGGGCTGGGGTTGTCGCCGTCCTGGACACCATCGAGGGACTGTGGGTGGCCCAGATGGGCAGAGTTTAGCGGAACGGAAGGCACCACAGGCCATGAATGGCATCACAGACGCCTCCAGCTGCTCTGTCCAGCTGGTGAGTGAGCAGAGGGGGAGGATCAGCATCTTAGGGGAGGAGGCTGAGCGTCCTCCCTCACGTGTCTGCGGCCTCCAGAGGGCGAGGCTGGGCCCTGGCAGGTGGTGGCAGTGAAGTCAAGGAGACTGGAGTTCCCGTCTTTGGAGAGCTCACGTTCTAGGAAGCCATTCCCACGCATGATGGGATTCCTGAAAAGTCCTTAGCTGGATATAATACCCAGTGCGAGGTGTTGTCCCCAGTTGCCCCGGACACGGCTTTTGGACAGAGGTTGCTGGACCCCACGGCCACACTGGGTCACTGGAGGGTCTGAGTTCAGTTGTTATGGTGTCCCTTTGTCAGCTCCAAGTCTGAGGACTTGAGGAGGCAGGAACTCAGTAAATGCTGTTATGTTATTGCTGTTCCCACCGCCCTTGTGCTTGGTGGCCACGCTGTTTCGGGTGGGCTCGGTGGGGAGGCAGGAACTGGAGCAGGGAGAGATGGTGTATGGAAGAGACTGTGCTGGCGACCGGCAAGGGTGACCCTGGCCCTAGCTGCCCCCACACCTGCCCCTCCATCCCCAGGCATGCCCCTGGGCTCTGGCTGTCCCCNCTTGG